TTTACTAAATTATATAAATAAGGGAAAATGGTATAAAATAACAAACTATTAATTCAAATTAAATGTTATAACCACAGTTTGATTTAATTGTAACCCGTAGCAAACAGTTGTCATTCGCCTCTCTCCCCAGATTTCTCGCTCGGCACTCTCCATTTCGCCTCTCTCACTTTATACAAACACAAATGTATAAAATGCGTTTGTGTTTGTATAAAACGAGAGAAAACTGTATATACAAATACAAATATATATATATTTTCGTCGTACACACTTATAATTATACAAATATAGATGTAACCCTGCACAATTCTTTTTTTTCCTTTCTCTCTTTCTCGCTTTATACAAACAAAGATCATACAAATTACAATGTATAATTTGTGTTGTATAAAGCAAGCGCGTGAGTGAGAGAGAGAGAGAGAGATGTTTTGATATACAAATATTTTATTTCGATTCAATTGTATACAAATTCAAATTTTATGCAGATATACAAACACATAAAATTGAATTGAGAGGCTGCCAGCGATTTATACAAACGAGAGGCTGCCAACAATTTATACAAATGAGAGGCTGCCAACGATTTATACAAATTTGATACTCCATAGGAAACATAAAGTTTGTTATGGAGCGCAATTATACAAACTATAGCTATAACATACAAATATGATTTTTATGTTTGCTAAATCTAAAATTTACTCTTTTTAATACATCAAACAAAAAAATATCACCTTGAATTTTTTTGACAAGACATCCTATCGGTCAAAGTTTAAGAGGGGCTGAATTGAGAATGTCAAAATGGATCAAATCAACTTATTGACCGATCCAAATTGCTTAAACGGATTGGGCCGATCATGTCTTTATATGCAAACTTTAAAGTAACAAAAGCTAGCAAGGCAGAGTTCTCTGCTTTGGATGGACAGAGTATTTCACTTGTTGTACTTCAATTCTGTGGCGGGGACGCCATCTCGCCCCACACCACACCCACCCTTGTGTAGCCGAGCTATTATTCATGATCGAAGGAAGCCTCGAGGTTGGCTTAGTGGACACTACTAACAAGCTCTATATATATACTCAAAATCTTTTCTTTAACCATAACTTTTGCATATATCTTTTATTATGAATTATTAAATATTTTGACTTAATGGTATTTTTTTATGTAGTTCCAATATACGTAGATTTTATTTTTAAGAAATTGAATTTTTCATATCCAAATTCACTATTTAAATTTAAAAATTTAACTCTCGAAATCCAAACTAAAAAGGCAAGTCCTTCTAGGAATTGGCTTATCTTGGAAAGAGACAACAACTTCTCATAACATATCTCAAGGTGTGTAGGGTATGTATTCGGTTTTTCATATTTTGAAAAATATTTGTTCTGAAAATAAGTTTTTTTTTGTAAATTGAAAAAACAACTTTTTTAGAGGAGTAGAAAAAACAAGTTCTTATAACACCTTGTTGTGCAGGTTTAGAGCCTAGCGCTTCAGGCCAGGTTTTGGGAAGAGTTGTATCTATTTTCCTTATATTTATGAATTTTATGAGAAAATATCGTTTTATGACTTATATTGATTCTTAAATGTTAGTTTTGTGTGTTCGTGCTTCGTATTTTATTTTGTGATCTTGAGTAGGCTTACTTATCCGAGGGTTAGATAGGTGTCATCACTTCCCCAATTCTGCAAGCAATCGTAATTCCAAATTAAAACTTCAATGCGCACTTACTTTATATCAAATTTCTCATTTTGAAAACAATCCAAAACTGATGGGAAAAAGTTTTTTTTCACATTTCTCGTTCACACTTTAAAAACTCAAAAAAAAGTTTACATTAAGAATCAATCAAATTACAAAGAAGAATAAAAAATACACAAATGCTCTCTCATCGTAAATGCTCTCTTCTCTCTCCTCTGTCAAATCTCTAACAACGGCTCTTTTTCAGCCCATCTCAGTAACGCACCATCGGCAGGGGCCGAGTATGGCGAAAAATTCGTGTGGAAGTAGATTTGCTAAAATCATTGCCTCAGAGTGTATGGGATGGATTGGAAGATGATAAATCACCTCTAAAGGGCTATTGTAAACACTTTATACAAACACAAATGTATAAAATGCGTTTGTGTTTGTATAAAACGAGAGAAAACTGTATATACAAATACAAATATATATATATTTTTCGTCGTACACACTTATAATTATACAAATATAGATGTAACCCTGCACAATTCTTATTTTTCCTTTCTCTCTTTCTCGCTTTATACAAACAAAGATTACACAAATTACAATGTATAATTTGTGTTGTATAAAGCGCGCGCGCGAGAGAGATGTTTTGATATACAAATGTTTTATTTCGATTCAATTGTATACAAATTCAAATTTTATGCAGATATACAAACACATAAAATTGAAATGAGAGGCTGTCAGCAATTTATACAAACGAGAGGCTGCCAGCGATTTATACAAATGAGAGGCTGCCAGTGATTTATACAAATCTGATGTTCCATAGCAAACATAAAATTTGCTATGGAGCGCAATTATACGAACTATAGTTATAGCATATAAATATGATTTTTATATTTGCTAAACCTAAAATTTACTCTTTTTAATGTATCAAACAAAAAAATATCACCTTGAAATTTTTTGACAAGACATCTTATCGGTCAAAGTTTAAGAGGGGCTGAATTGAGAATGTCAAAATGGATCAAATCAACTTATTGACCGATCCAAATTACTTAAACGGATTGGGCCGATCATGTCTTTATATGCAAACTTTAAAGTAACAAAAGCTAGCAAGGCAGAGTTCTCTGCTTTGGATGGACAGAGTACTTCACTTGTTGTACTTCAATTTTGTGGCGGGGGGCGCCAACTCGCCCCACACCACACCCACCCTCGTGTAGCCGAGCTATTATTCATGATCGAAGGAAGCCTCGAGGTTGGCTTAGTGGACAATATTAACAAGCTCTATATAAATATATACTCAAAATCTTTTCTTTAACCACAACTTTTGCATATATCTTTTATGAATTATTAAATATTTTGACTTAATAGTATTTTTTTTTTATGTAGTTTCCATATACGTAAACTTTATTTTTAAGAAATTGCATTTTTCATATCCAAATTCACTATTTAAATTTAAAAATTTAACTCTCGAAATCCAAACTAAAAAGGCAAGTCCTTCTAGGAATTGACTTATCTTGGAAAGAGACAACAACTTCTCATAACATATCTCAAGGTGTGTTTGGTATGTATTTGGTTTTTCATATTTTGAATTTTTTTTTTTCTAAAAATAAGTTTCTTTTGTAAATTGAAAAAACAACTTTTTTAGAGGAGTAGAAAAAACAAGTTCTTATAACACCTTGTTGGGTAGGTTTAGAGCCTAGCGCTTCAGGCCAGGTTTTGGGAAGAGTTGTATCTATTTTCCTTATATTTATGAATTTTATGAGAAAATATCGTTTTATGACTTATATTGATTCTTAAATGTTAGTTTTGTGTGTTCGTGCTTCGTATTTTATTTTGTGATCTTGAGTAGGCTTACTTATCCGAGGGTTAGATAGGTGTCATCACTTCCCCAATTCTGCAAGCAATCGTAATTCCAAATAAAAACCTCAATGCGACACGTACTTTATTTTGAAAACAATCCAAAAACTGATGGGAAAAAGTTTTTTTTCTCATTTCTCGTTCACACTTTAAAAACTC